AGGCCCCCTCCCCTATCTGCAGGCAGGCCATCAACTCACCAAGGAAGGGGCCGCCTCTCTTGCTCACCATGACCCCCAGCTCCAAGAACAGTGCCCACCTGGCACGAGGGTATGACTGGTGAGTTCCCGGGGCCTGAACGAATGCACGGAGGAAGGACTGTGTTTCATTCCCTGCCGGGTTCCAGCGCTGGAAGAGTCCCTGGTGTGGCGCATGCTCAGTGAGTATCTGTTGCGTGTGGAATAACCCAGCACCTTCGTATCCGAAACACCCTCGAACGGTTGCGGACAGCTGAAGAGAACTACGCCCGGATCACAGTGGCACCCTGCAGGGCCCTCGCCACTTCCTCAGCACTTGCTGGGGCCACAGAGCTATGCAGACCACAGAAGCAGACCAAAGGACAGAGAAATCTCGTTCCGCGAAGGCGAGCACTCCAGTCTCCTCCAGGATGCCTTTGCCGCCTGGTGGCAACCCTGTCCAGCAGCCCCAGGCTCGGGCATCGGCACCAGGCACTCACAGCTCCCGCTCATGGGCACAGCCACCCTCTGCAAAGTTAGACTTCTCACCACCCGTTCTCTGCGAACAAAGGCAGGCCTCCCTGGTCATGCCTCAGCCTCTGCGTCCCCGGACCAGGCTGCCATGAAGAGTAGCAAAGTGACTGTTTCAGGTATGTGAGACAGACAGACAGACAGTTAGATAGATAGACAGTCAGACAGATGGATAGATGGATGGATGGATGGATGGACGGACAGATAATAGGATAGAAATGACAAACAGATGATAGATGACGGATGAGTAGGTGGATGGATGAATGCATGGACAGACGGACGACAGAGATGACGATGGATAGATTCAGGGTAGAAGACGGCTGGATGGACAGGTAAGTGGGTGGGGTGGGCGTGTGCACACACGCGGGCTTCTATATCTCACTTTCGTCACGAACAACGTCCCTGCCTTGGCAGAGCAGAAGCTCCATCTAGCCTTCCGTGTTTGATGTTATCAGTCTACTCCGCTGTATTCAGCCTCATCTCCACATCAGATCCAAGTCCAGGTCCAGGGCACAGGTTGGAGGAAAAGAAAAAGCCACGGAAGCGTATCGCTTCAGACAGTTTCCCAAGTGTCCAGCATTCGGGCTGCTTTATCCTAAGCCTTCTATTAAAGCTTCAGGAAGAAGAAAGGGAAGAGATAGGCAAGGGCTATGCATCTACCTATTCACAGGAAAGCGCATCTGTAAATGCTCAAAAGCAGCATGTAAAGCTTGGATGGGTGATTTCTGCTGTCGAGCCAACATGGATCCAGAGCTTCTGCTGTGTCACACATCCCAAAGTGATGTGCAAAACGTGAAAAAAGACTCCTAGAGATTCCCCCCTGGACATGACATTTCTATTGCTTGCTAAGACCACAGGTTACATATGGGTAAATAACTCAAGCCAGGTAACATTTCAGAAAAACCACAGGTGCTCCCCAAACCCGTCAGCCATGCTGGGAACGTCACCCCGGTACGTGGCCTGCGTATCCATGGATGTCAGTATCGCCATGAAAATGGAGACTCTAATTCCTCCTGAGCCGGTGTTTGCAGAGTCCCTTCTGCTGGCAGGACTTTTCGTCGCTGGGCTCATGGACATGAGTGAGGTTGTGAGATGTTCCACGCTCACTCCTCTCCTCTTGTGCTCGTGCTGGTCTCTGCCTCAGACCCGGACACAAGCACACAGCACCCTCCCTCACTATGTGGTGCAGGAAGGCAGGATCACAGGCCTGGCCATTCGGGAGATCACATCTGAGGTATTAGCAGAACCTCCCCCAACACCTCTTCGACACAACACCAACATTCTCAGCAGCAGAAGCGCCGGGACACGCAGACCTCGTCAGCGGACCGAGGGCCACACAGATCTGCGGTCCACAGGTCTTCAGGAGAACCTGGTGCATTGCGGCAGGCGTGGGGTGCAGGACTATCTGGGATAGGAAAGGATGCCCAGGGTCCCATAAAATGCCCCAGCCTGACGGGCCGTCCACAGGCTCAGCCTGTCCCCATCCCCTCAGGACCTGCTAGTCCTGGGTCCCTCATGGGGATGACAGAGTTGGATGGGCCCCTCACTGGCTCTGCCCACATGCACACAGGTCAGCCTCCCCTGAGCAGACCAGAGGGAAAACAGCCATCACTCTGCATTTCCCAAAGACCTGAAAACCTTCAGCTGCTAACACCACTGACGGCCTGAAAAGCAAACGTGCTCTGTCTTTGCTCCAATTACCTCGTTCTCTTTAAGTAAAATGCAATTTGAAACCACAGAGGTTCTGGTGCTGAAGGAAGCACATTAGCATAAATATTGGCTTGCTGGAACTCCCATTTTTCTTGCACTCACAGAACTGAAGTGCTTGCTTTTTTTTCCCTTCTTCTTCTGCCTCATGCATTTTCTGAACATCAGCAAAAAACTAGTTTTGTCATCAGAAAACTGCTCTGGCCTGGCTTTTGCATTTGGCTGCCGGTACCTACCAGGGAATTGATCGGGGATAACCACTGTGGACTCTAAAAACTCATGTACGACAAAGAGCCAGCCCCCGAAGACAGGCTGAACCTGGGACCAGTGTGTCTGCGAGCGGAGCCGGCAGGTGACCGGGGACCGCAGGCTGATCCCTGGAGCTCGCCGTGACGAACAGCCCTGCAGGCAGCTTCAAAGGCACCCACCGGTTCGCCGCATTTCTGCCAGGCCTTCCTGTTCCTTTCTGATCACTCCTGACAAAAACAGGCTCACACATAGGCAGGCATCAACGTACCCACAACCCACTCTCGGGCCGGACTGCGGAGGGTAGTGCTCGGTCCAGGGGTGCGATTTCACGCCGTCATGGGAATCCTGACCCGGAGTCCTGGTTTGATCTCTTCCTCAATCCAGTCCAACATCTTTGGGAATCCGAGGTCAATGCCGCCTCATCCAGAGCCGACCAGCGGTCCCTCCACTGACCCTCATCACCTTGGCCTTTCAGAGGCACCCCTACCCCTGGACCTGCCTTGAGCACCATCTTTCTGTAGTGTCTCATCTGTTAGACAGGTCAACCTGCCACTTCGGCTGGGCCAGACCTGCACCGATCACTTTCGGGAGGCAGGGCCCAGCCGTGGGAGGTGAGCTGCTTTAAATGAAAGCAGGTCCCGGCTGCTCAGAACACCTGGCAGGGGCCCAAGAAAGGCCCACCCAGATCTATGCCCTTTCTGTGTCCATCCTCCGAGGTCCTTACACTTGAGGTGCCGTAAGCCTTCTTTCCCAATCTTCCTGCCTTCATCCCAGGGCACCCCGATACCCCAGGCCTTCCGCATGCAGGCTGCCCACACCTCCTTCCGCACAGACTGCAGGGGACTCCACAGGACCTCGACACACCCGCACCGGCCCCGTCGCAGGACCTGAGATGCTTGCCACTCTGCAATACTAGACCTGCCTGCTTGTCTGTCCCACACGACCGGAACCTCATGAAGGACAGGAACATCCTCTGAACATTTATAGGCTAAATGCTCCCAAGTAAATAACCACAACAACGGCCCCGCCAGAGTGTCTTTACAGAGTTTCTTCTCAACTACAACTTCAACTTTCTCTCTTAAAGGGATTTTTGTTTTCTGAACATGTAAGTCTTTAACTGCTAACTGCGCAGATGGCCTAGGAAAGCAAACACGCTCGGCCTCTGCTAAAACGATCTCATTCAAGTAGAATGACGTTTGAAACCATGTGGAGGTTCCCGAGGGGATGGTGCTCGCACAGGTCGCTCAGAGGGCTCCCGTCCTCCGCAGTGGGAATTTGCACTCCTCACAAGGCCAGAGAAGGCCTCCCTCAAGCTACCCAGCTACCCAGGCCTGCCTCACCCATCAGGCCACCCAGATCTCTCGTCTGTTCTTTTCAAAACAGGATGCACTCTTCTATACCTTATGAGTCACCTCCAGCCTAAGGACCCATACTCCTTCCCCGGACACCCACCTGTGAGCCGTGGCCATGCTCCCACGTGAGGTGCTCCTCCCTTTGCAAGCCAGAGCAAGGATCCCTTACCATCTGTTTGTCACTCCCTCCCCTGTGCTCCCAGAGCGCTCTGCTCTGCGCCCTGAGTGTCCCCCCCAACACACCATACCTTCAGCCTAGAATTAAGCCATCTCCCCAACAAGGCTGCAAAGCCCCAATAGGCCGAGGGCAGACAGGGCTTGTGTTCGGACCCAGGACTTGGCGCAGCGCCTGCCTCCGAGCAGTGGCCTCACAGACATGTGTTCAGTGGATGAACGGATTGTTGTGCCCCGGGGATTAAAACACATTCATCATGGTACAGTAGCGATGAGGAAGATCTATGTGGGGTCCTCTTTCATAAGAGAAAACACTGATATGTGTGAAAAAAGCAGAGATCGAGTTCCAAGAATGGTTCCAGGATTCCAAGCCATGTCCACACGGGGTCTGTGGCGAGGCTATAAAAACCTCCATCAATGTAACGAGGATTCACCTCTCTCTGCAGGTCAACCCCCAAAGGCAGGAAGAGAAATGGGAAAGAATACCATCAAACTGATGCGCGGCCATGACACAAACTTCACACAAGTGCCTGGAGCCTGAGCTGGAGCCTCCTCCATGCAGACGCATGCCGGCTACGGCCGACGGAGGAGAAAGGCCTTGCGGCTCCTGACGCCGCCAACGGGCGGGCGTCTATCCTTAAGAGCATCTTCTCTCGCCCATCCAGGCTTACTTGCCTCTTGAGAGAAACCTCCAGTCTGCAGTCCTGGGCCCTGACCCACACACAGCCCTCAAACCCATACAAGGTTTCCCCGGACTCGGGGGAGGAGGGTGTAGTCCCCCCACCCTCTCCCCCACTCTCCCCCCCCCGCCCTCCACTGCTAGCCTGTGAGTTTTTCACGGGCAGGAATGCTATTTCCCATCTTTGCCTGACCAGCTCCAGCCCAATCCCGATATGTCCTTCAGAAATTCTGTCTACATCTTGGACACCCTGTGGAAATACCCCGACGCTGACCCCCGTGCGCATGCCTTACCTCTTTCAGAACCAGCACACATTTGCCTGGTCCCACCGACTGAGGTAGCTCTGCGATTCTCCCTTTGTTCAGGTAAGGGCCTGAGAAACACCTGTGGTTGATAAAAAGCTGAGGACAGCAGTATTTTCCGTTGACAGTACCTGCGGGGAAGAGCACCACAGCTCACGCTTTAGGAGCCAACAAAAAAACCTGCTTAATCCACTTAGTTGGCAAAATTACCCAGAGGCCCACTGTGTCTTAATATCAGAATGTCTTATAAATACAGTATCTTAGAAATTCGGGTTATTTTTTTGCTATCATATAAACGAACTTCTCTGTTTATGATGCAGGATTCAAGACACACGAAAAGATGCTAAAACCAAGACAATGACAACTAATGTACCACTGTGCAGCTAATAAAAACAAAAAACAAAACAAAACAAAAAACAACCCCAGCTCTGGAGCTAAGCTCTCCTGGGTTTTCTACTCTAGAAACTCCTCCACCTTCTCTTCCCCTTCCCTGAATCTGGTGTTTATCATTCTGACGCAGGCCTATAAACTTGACCACACACACACACAGGTAGATGTGTGTCAACAAGTAATGCATGGTATTTCGGATATTTTAAAAATATTCCATAAATGGTTTTCTGCAACATTTTGTTTGTTCGACCTGCAGTTTCTAAGATCCACCCAAATCGGTACACGTATATGCAGAACGTTCATCCACCTGTCACTTCTGTGCGTGACCCCATTACATGAATATAGCACAAGCAGCAGCCCACTCTCCTGCTGATGGACACTCAGTCATTTCCACTTGCTCGGGAATTACCGACAGTGCTCTGCTGAGGACAGCTGTAAACATCGGCTTCTGCTTACGGGCAAGAGAGCTTTCCAAGTATATCACAAGGAGGGGACCTGCTCGGCCACGGGGTCTGCATGTCTTCAGTTGTCCCACACGTGATCAAACTGATCTCCACGCGGACAATCTCAACCTACACTCCTATAGGAGGTGTGGCCACTATTCCACATCCAAGCCAACACTAGACATGGCAGGGCGTCTTCATTTTGCCAATCTCATGGACGTGCAATGTACTTCCCGTGGACTGAAGCTGCATTTCCTTCATTGTGCTTTCAACGTAGCAGGTTGCTGGGCTAGTTGTGTCTCAAAGGGCCGTGGGGAAACGTGGAAGAATAAATGGTAAGGTATTACCCTAAAGCTTCCTGATGTCTGTAACAGGGTTCTGCTGTCAGCCAAGACTCGCCCTCCCCCACAATGCCCCAAGCTAAGCTCCGCTAACAGTGGTGTCTCTGTTAACAGTCCAGGAGGGACTGTCCTCATAGGACTTCAACTAAGAACCAATAGGGAACGAGGGAGAAATGTTATTTTTGTGAGGGTAAGACAAAAGGAGTAATATAACAATTATAGACTCTGAAAGAAGAGCTGACATGGTTCTTTTAAAACCATTCTGAAGTTTGAATTCTATACAACAAAATTAGGCAAAAGAATTATGTCCACAGCTGCATATACATGGAAATTTTTTGGTAGGATTACCCTACCCAGAACTTTAGAAAAAAAAACAATTTTAGTAAGTCTACTCATAAAAATGCTCTCCTTACTATAACTTTGACTGCTAGGATTCTTCCATGGCATATAGCTTAGAATCCTGGAAGAATTCAGAGCAGGTTTCCCTTTGGCTAGAAAACAGAATTCGTAATCAAATATATTATTTAATGTACAAACACGTCTATAATCAGATTTGTTGTCATTGGGGAATTCACATTTGTGTTTTCAAAGGTTTTAATGTAAGATATAGAACTTTACACATTAAAAGACATATATTATTCACTCTCAGCTTTCAAACACAGAGGGTTTTTAAGGATCAATTCAAAAGCCCATGGGGACTTAAATATTAACCAGTAATGAAAAATGCAAGTGGGATGCCATAAAATGTCAAAAAAAAATGAGTGCCTAATAATGATATTTTCAATTCTTTCTCCTTGCACATGACCATCCACAACATACAACCCTAACTGGGCCCAAATTTCCAAGGAACACATGGACTCTTCTCCTGCAGACTGAGAGAAGCGTCTAGAGCTACTGACCAAGAGACAGAAGAGGCACAGAGAATCTGGTATAGAAATTTTTTTTTAAAGTAGGTATGTGTTAATAAGTAGCAACAGAGACAAGGAGAATGAACTTAAAGTTGAACTATTCTTATATTAGACCTAAAAACACACGCACGTCTCCACTCCCAAATTGGGACGGGACAGCCAGCCGTAAGTGGGCTCATTTACCTGAGGTGTCCAGGTGAGAGAATAAACAAAGGTCGTGAGGTATTTTCTCAACAGGCACTGTGGATGGCAATCTGTTGATCAAGAAAATACAACTATCACGGGTCGCACACTTGAGAAGGAACTCAACTAATGAAATAACTAATTAAATTAATTAAACTAATTCCGAAGTCTTTCCACAACTTAAAGCGATTATCACAGAAATCCAAGCACACAGTAAAAGAGAGGATGCATATATGTCAAGCAGTAACATCAGTACAAACGTATCCATTTCAAAGAGGTCGTCCCCAAATTCTTGCAATAACCCTAAGAAGCCAATGGCATGTCTGCCCCTCAGGTTGTCATCCCTAATCAGCGATGTTCTTCCAGGAGGCTCCTGGCTTGTCTCTTGCTATAGAATTGTCATAATGCCCTTCATTATATTTTAGACACAAAGAAACATCAACTCGCATGGATTTTAACGGAAGTCAGACCTCTCTTCAATAGAAGAAACTAGTACTTTCTACAAGCTAATGTCTGAGAACTGCTTGTGTGGGTCACGGCCACACTAAAAAGACCTTCAAAGAAAGCCTATGAACGGATGGGTCCTAGAACGAGAAGTAGGCCTAGCCTAGGGCAGAGCTTTGTGTTATAGTTCGGTAAAAAAGTTGCTGAATAAACATTAAAAATGTAGCCATGGGGGAAAAGAGGTGCGTTGGTTTTTACAGGGTACCCAGGACGGCGGTGTGGAAATCACACCATTGAAAAATGACACAAGTGCAGAACAAACCATCACAAAATCTCAGTGGGGTCATCTTCACACTGGCTCTCAAAGTGGGGTCCCCACACTAGAGGACTGGCACCACCTAGAAACTTGTTAAATGCACAGATGCTCAGGCCCCACTAAAGACATCCTGAGCCAGGGAATTTGGAGATGGGGACCCAGCAGTGTGTGTGTTTTATCGAGCCGTCTGGGTGCAGGTGCAAGTGCAGGATGGGGACCACGGATCCATGGGCCATAAATTGAGGAGCTACAAAATCGGATTTGGATTCAATGACGGGACCATTTAGTTCTTTGCTCTCGATTTCAACGTTATCCAGACCAAACTGGAGTCAGATTATTAACCTGCTACACTGTGTTTAGACATGAATGTATGGAAAATGCCCACAAAACTGTTATTCACATTCAAATAGCCATGCAGTCATTATTCAATTTCATTTTAAGTTTAAACCGGGTATCTGAAAAGATCAAATTCATTTCCACCAGTGTATTTTCATTAGAAAACAGAACCACCTGGCAAAGGCTGTGTATTTTAGTGTACCTTAGCTAATCTTCAATATATAAAAATGCTACTAATGGTGAGAATTTTTCAAAAACATACTGCACATATGCACACTGCCTGATACCCTCCTTCTCCCTAAAATTACAACTGAAATGGGGGATAACTTACATTGACTTAACCCTGTACAACCCACACAATTTTTTTTTCCACATGAAATCTAATTTAATCTTCACGAACCCCCTGAGAAACAGGTGTTTCACAAAGAAGGGCGTCGAGATGCAGAGCATTAAGCAGCTTCCTCAAGGACACCTTGCTGGGGGCTGGCCGAGATGGCCTCGGACGGCAGTCTGCCTGCCAGGCCGGCCACGACCCATGACGCCAGCATGCTGAGTGTGGGCAGGGACAGCGATGCGTGGCCAGGGGGGCCTCAAAGAGGGCTTTCACTATCAAGGTGTGAGGCCAGGATGCCCGCCAGCGGGAACGGAAGAGAGAAACTGCAATCAGGAGAAGAGATCCCTAGAAGAGGCGAGCCCGTGTCTTCCATGTAACGGGTGCACCATAAACAACAACAGGTATTTCTGGCTATCATCTCTGTGAACCCACTCACTGATAAAAACGGCCACACTTCCTTATTCTCTATAAAGACAGTTCTATATACCATCTAAGTTTTGGGGGAAAAAAAAACAAAACACAAAAACTTACTGTTTTTCTGGCTGCACAACTGCAATCTTTCTCTTCTTTTGTGCTGTAAAACAGGCAAGAAAGGGCAAAAGGACAGTCAGTTTCATTCACGAGTTGGGCAAAAGCATTTTTTTAAAAATGTCTTCATGGGGGCGCCTGGGTGGCTCAGTTGGTTAAGCGACTGCCTTCGGCTCAGGTCATGATCCTGGAGTCCCGGGATCGAGTCCCGCATCGGGCTCCCT